GATGACCTGATGATGTACATGGAAATGATGTCGATACCCTGAAAGGGAGGTCCATGAAGGCAGAAAAGACTACAGGGGAAGACGAAAGGGATCCTAAACGAACTAGGCGAAAATGGCAAACGTCTCATAAAGCTGACATGGAGCAGCGGATGAGTTCTTTCAAACTGGACGGCGTCTTCCAGCCAGATGGTAATTATCATTGCCAGACTTCAATGGTGCCTTGTAAGAACACTGCTGCTTCTCAATGCCACTTCGATTCCATCTCAAAATCACCGAGAATATCTTTTTACAGTCCCGCCACGGACTCTGCCTTTCCCCTAGATCTTATCAAAGGGCACAGCCCTAGAATTGGAGCTCACACATATGTCCACAGGCTAACATCCCCGTCTGGAGACTTCGTCACCCCTCTCTTGTCGAAACAGGAAATCCCGCCATGTAAAACCATCCAACACGGGACAGCTATCCACACTGCAAGTGTTCCACTCATCAAACCACCTCGCCCCCGCTCTGCCTCTGCCATGCAAAACATGGTCCGGAGGGACTCAGCGAGTCAGCAGCAATTCTTCAGAGAATATCCTTCGCCTGAGGAAAAGGGCATTGGGCCGTACTGTGAGCTGCCAAATTCGCCGCCTGGGAAACGGAAGTTTCATGCTGAGGGACGATATGAGCCTGAGACACGACAACGGCCAGTGTTCATCCCAATGCCACCGCCGCTGTCCCTGTCCGCCTCTCATCTTAACGCTTGAATCGTATTTTTTCGAAAAGGGCCCAAGTCATATTTGAATCCGGGGACAGCTTCAGCTATAAATGCAGTTGGTGTTTCAAACATCTCTTCGCCCAAAGTAACCCTCTTCTAGAACAGCGAAACTGTGATGTTACAACCGGTTAACGTCTTGATGACGACGATGATGATAATAACGGAAATAATTCTGGCAATCGCAATAGAAACGCTCCACACATCATATACTTATGTCTCTTGGATGCTGCAACTTATTGGTGAAGGTAATAAAATGCAAGAGCATGAGGACGGTATAAAATATTCTGCAAAGAATCCAAAATAAAAAACCTAACGCCGTCAACATGTATAATACAACAAAATGCTAATTAACTCAATTATTCTGATATATTTTTGTATATCATATATATATACATATATATGTGTGTGTGCGTTGCTCCCCTCAACAAAGCTTTACAGCTGCTTCTCCCCTTTATTCACATCAGTACTCTCCAGCTTCTTCTTCTCCTTCTCTGCCAGCTTCTTAGCCTTTTCTCTCTTCTGCACCACCCCTTCTGCCCCAATGCCACCAAAGACCAGCCCAACGCCTATCCATTGGCCCCCACTCAGCCGATGGCCGAACCACATCACGCTCAATAGCATCGTAAGCATCTTCCTCGTAACTGTAACAGTGACAAGCAGCAGGGAAGAGAAATGCGCCAGAGTGTGGAATATAAATAACTGGCCAATTGCACCGCAGGCAGCGAAGGCAATTATATCCTTTGTTGCGGTTGGGTGGCGGGATAGGAACGCAAGGGCAGAAGCTAGCTCCGAGGTCTGCGATAGGTCGATGGGGAGAGGCATGAGGCGGAGAATTGAGGTGGACACGTGTGGAGTGACCAGGAGGTAGGTGGTTGTCAGGAGTGTGCAGAGCAAGTTTTGCGCCACCATCATCTGCGGGCCGGTGAAGCGTGAGTATAGTTTTGGAGAGGAAAATATGTGGTCCTGAGTCGTGTTTGTGAGGCCGTCTAGGAGCAGGTTTAAGGATAGGAGGAAGAGACCGTAGATGGAGGAGCCGTTTCCATTATTACTATGGCTGTTTTTTTTCTTGCTGGAGGTGGAGTGGTGGAGGGTAAACGTCGCAACGCCAATGGTAACGAGA